TAGCAAGAGTTGCAAGCACATTCATGGACAGGGTAGGAATTCAAAATGACCTTGAAAAAATGAGAGACTTAGTCCATCATCAGTCATTAAATGGAGACAAATACGAACAGCCATTCTGGGTGGCAGTGGCCGGTGCCGGATGCTGCAGAGACAGTGAGCAGAACAGAGCAGTTTCAAGGGATCCATCCCTTGTTTTCCAGGGCCCATTTCTGGCAGCTGGCGTTTCAGGATTTCTATGCCTGAGATTAGGGACAGAAATGAGAATCTGAACCCTTGTCTAAGCCAAGTGGTCTGAGTTGGGCAGCTCACTCCACCTTCCTGACTCCCTTGCAGAGGAAGGGTTGCAGACCAAGCCGGATAAGAAATCTTGTCAAATAGAGGATCAGGAGGAAGCAGAAAACCTACCAGAAATGTACTGGGCTGGATAAGGAAGAAACACTTTTTCTTGGAGGTCGGAAAGTGTAGGAAAGAGAATTGCCAAAATCCAAGCAGAATGGATCCTTGCAAAGGGAATTATTTGGCACCAGTGAGGCCACATCTGGAGTGTGAAACCAGTTCTGGGCCTCCACTTACAGAAAGGATGTGGACGCATTGGAGAGGGTCCAGTGGAGGGCAACCAAAATGATGAGGGGGGCTGGAGTACATGACCTACGCGGAGAGTCTGAGTGATTAATTGAACTCTGGAAGATCAAGGGCCGCAGTGTTGATATGGTCCCATAAAGTCTGTTTACAGCCACCAATCCTGGCTCTCAGTGCTGTGTGCTGTTATTTCACTCTAATTTACCCCTAAATGTCTTCTAAGAGCTTGGAAAGCAGTGGAAGTGTTGGTATTGCTACTAGACAATATTGACCTCCTGAGGTTTGGCAAATTCTCTGATTTGCCATCGGTCAGGTACCAAGGGTGCTGGACTAGAGAGGTTCAACCTATACAAAGAATCTTGAAAATGGTATTAATCCACTACTAGGGTATGTCTACACTAGTCCCCTAGTTCGAACTAGGGAGGCTAATGAAGGCATTTGAAGTTGCAAATGAAGCCCGGGATTTAAATATCCCAGGCTTTATTTGCATCTTCCCGTCCAGGCGCCATTTTTAAATCCCCCTAGTCCGAACTAACTGCCCGCGGCTACACGCGGCAGTCAAATGTTAACTCGAACTAAATCCTTAGTTCGAGTTAACTGTTACACGTCATTCCACATGAATAAGGAATGGAATGAGGTGTAACAGTTAACTCGAATTAAGGACTTAGTTCGGGTTAACGTTTGACTGCCGCATGTAGCCGCGGGCAGTTAGTTCACACTAAGGGGATTTAAAAATGGCGCCCGGACGGGAAGATGCAAATAAAACCAGGGATATTTAAACCCGTGCTTCATTTGCAACTTCAAATGCCTACATTAGCCTCCCTAGTTCGAACTAGGGGGCTAGTGTACACATACCCCTAGAGAGGAATGGTAGAATTATCAGAAATGATGCAGAAAGACTGAAGTGTTCAATCAATATTTCTAGTCTGCATTTGGGAAAGAAACGGATGATGTAAATGTATCAAAGGGATTTAATAAAACAATTTCCCTTCCTATGTAACTCAGCAGGATTTTCAACACAACTATGATAGTCAGATATTTTCAATTCAACAGGACCAGAGAACTTCCATGAAAGAGACTCAGGTGGCAGATTCTATGTAACTATGAAGTTTTGCTATTAATCTGGAAAGCCACACGGTCCGGACAGAAGAATTACTAAGTGTGAAATATAAATTTACCGTAAGAGGTATCGTCTCTTGCCTGACAAAAGTGGATGTTTTGGATTGTTCCACCAACATCCAGGAAGACGGTTCTTCAACCCCTCATAGTTTGAAATTTGGACTAAGAAAACAAAAATCCCTGTCCAGAAGGGAGAGAATCACTGTATGGCCTCCACAGCTAAATAAATACTTTGTTTCCATATTTTAATAAAGCTCATGAAGATCTTAGAGGCAGTGATCAAATGGCTAACAGGAATGATGATGAGTCCTGTGGCATCTTAGGGTATGTCTACACAGCACTGTTATTCCGGAATAACTGATGTTATTTTGAAATAATGGAGTGTGCAGCTACACTACAATTCAACAGGACCAGAAACTTGTATCAAAGAGTTTTAAAAGAGCTGCCTGAGGAGATCACTGGATGATTTCCCAAAAGTCCTTGGAACACCAGATAAGTTATCAAAGACCAGAAGGAAGCAAATGTTGGGCCAATATGTTAAAAAGTGAAAAATGGGATGACTTAGGTAAATGTACACCTTTCAGTCTGACACTGATCCCAGGAAAGATAATGGGGCAGATGTGGTAGGTACATCTTAAATTAAGTGAGGCTTTTGACACACTACCTCGTGACATTTTTGTAGACAAACTGGAGAAAAATGGTCTAAATTAAGTTACTATTGGATAGGTACACAAAAGTTTAAAAGGTCATACTCCAAGTGCAGTTATGAATAATTCACTGTGAAACTGGGAGGACTTATCTAGCAGGACTCTATAAGGGTTAGTTTCGGGTCCAGCCACGCTCAATGTTTGGATAATGGCATGCATTATATTTCTAAGCAGGGCTGGCCAGAAAACAAGAATTCCCTTTTGTGAAAAGTGCCACCATTTCACACTTCGTTTTCATTCTGATATAGAACTAAAACAACACTCAGACCTGGTCCTTTATTGTGAAAATAGAGAACCAGGTGTCATCTTCTACGTAGACTCCTAGCCTTCACATTACACTGAAAAACGCATAGCTGGAAATCAATTTGGCTCACCTGGATGTTCAAATAATTTAGAAGAATGTTCAAATAAATGTTAAATTTATAAGAAGGCACTTAGTGTTTGGAATTTATGACATGCTTGTAAGTTACTGCAGGTATCAATCTCACTGACAAAGTCTGAAACCATCTTGTAAGGATTCAAGTCTTTGCTTTGCAACTATGAAGCTGTTTGCTATTAATCTGGAAAGCCACATGGACCAGGGAAAAGAATTACCAAGTGTGAAATATAAATTTATCATAAGAGGTATCGTCTCCTGCCCAACAAAAGTGGATGTTATGGATTGTTGCAACAAAACCCATGAAGAGGGTCCCTTGTCCCTGCATAGTTTGAAATTTGGAGTAAGAGAACAAAAATCCCTTACCAGAAGGAAGTGAATCATTGTGATGTTCGGAATTGAGACAACAGTATTTCTAAACATAAGCAAGGGATTTCCATGCTGCTTAGATTGCTTTAGCCCTAAAGGCTATATACACCTGGCCTTATTAAACAGTTTCTGTCTCCTTTTGAAACTTAGCACTGTAACTCATTTATGAGTGCATGTTTATCTGCTTTACCCTTTTAAATTACTCTCTTTTTCTAGCTTCAGAGGGGTAGACGAGTTAGTTCATAACAGGAAAAACTTAAAATACTCTAAACTGTCATTCATGCTTAAATTTGACACCTTACACTTAGGTCTTAACAAAGACACTAATTATCTTACCCATTACAAAGATAGCTTCCCCAATTACCACCTCTAATATCATTAGCTCACAGACATTTAACTCCTCCCCTCTTCCCCCTTCTGTTCTGAAATTTGATTTGTCCTTTTCATATGTGTTCATTTTTTGATTGTATCCTTTGGTATATATGGTCATGCCATTTTTCTTCCACTATTTGATCTGAGGAAGTGGGTCTGGCCCATGAAAGCTCATCACCTAATAAACCATCTTGTTAGTCTTTAAAGTGCTACATGGTCCTGTTTTTTGTTTAAAAAAAACAACAAATAGTCTAGTAGCACTTTAAAGACTAACAACACATGTAGATGATATCATGACCTTTCATGCGCAAAACCCACTTCTTCAGATGACCAGCCATGATCCCATCTATATCTTTTGTTAATCTTTAAAGTGCTACTAGAGTATTTGTTGTTTTTTAAGTTTTTCTCTTTTTCCAGTTAATATATTTATTGTTTATTATAGGATTATTTATGTTATTTATTTCTTACCATTTATTATAGGATTGGCTACAGGCATTGTCTTTCATGTAAGGACTAAGGTGAAACTGACCAGGGGTAAGTGACCGGTCCTTTGCGACTGGTAGTAACCTGAATATTGTTGTGATTTTTGGTGTAAAGGAGCATCTGTTACAGAGACAGGATTCTTAGGCAGCAAGATAGACAAGATTGTGTAAGGGAACATGGTAAGTTGGCAACAATACTTCAGGAGCTCATACATGGCAAATAGTTGGAGAAATCTAAGTATAGAATGCAGAACCAGTTGGGGGTGCAAACCGTGGTTGGTCATACTCTGGCCTGAGGTTGTCTCCATATTAGTGAGCCAATCCAGACAGAAGGATATCTCCATCCAACCATGTGCTCTAACCAATAGGCTAAAGAGCTCATTTCCTTTTTGGGCTTCATGTTGACCAGAAATTCCATGCTGGAGCTGAGAAACCATGCTGATGAAATTTGCAGCTAAACCCGATTTAATTTCTTGAAATATTTCAGTTGTAACAAAATGGGAGCTTTTTAATGGGAAAAAGTGTATAATTTTTTACAAGTTTTTACCTAAGTGACATAAGTCTCACTGGAGTGCAGAAGAAAGTCAGTGACTCAGGAGTAGAAATATTACAACTTCCAATGAGATGTGTGAAAAAAAAACACTCACTCTGTCCTGAGCAGAGATCAAAATTATTGTCAAGCTGAGACATGAAGAGAATGGGCCAAATCCTGTGGTTTTCTTGGGGTGGATGAAGCGGGTTAGATGGGCTAAGTCATTAAGACAGGAACAAGATACCTGTCACCCTCATGGTCCTTAGGAGATAGCTGAGTGGAGATCTCGTCCCTGGGGTAGAGATGAGAAGATGCACAAGGCAGGAGGGCATTGAGGAGCATCCATTTTCCCTTCTCCTCTCTCAGACTTAGCAGCAGAGTTTTGGGGTCAGACCTTTCATGTGTCCAAATGTGCATTCACCTCGTGTAAATACAGGTCTTTCATGTTTTGACAGAGGGATGACATGGCTGGGACAGATGAGAGAAACCAAACCAATGTGCAGGAGTTCATCCTCAAGGGCTTTCCCGGCACTTGGTCTTTCCAGATGTTCCTTATTGTGGTGTTTGCGGTGATGTACATCCTAACCATTGTAGGGAATGTGTCCATCATCGCCCTAGTATGGACCCACCAACGCTTGCACACACCCATGTATTTCTTCCTGTGCAATCTCTCCTTCCTGGAGATCTGGTACACCACCGCTTGTGTCCCCAAGGCCATTGGCATCATGCTGGGCACAAGCCAAACTGTCTCATTTACTGCCTGCCTCCTGCAACTCTTTTTTCTCCTCTCCATGGGCTCTACAGAATGTTTCCTCCTGGCCACCATGGCCTATGACCGCTATCTGGCCATATGCCACCCATTGCGTTACAGCACCCTCATGAACAGCACCTTCTCTGCTCAGCTGGCTTTCCTCTCTTGGTTGTGTGGGTTTGTGGCTATCTCTGTGCTGGCAGCTCTAATATCTACCTTGTCTTTCTGTGGCCCGACAGTCATCAATCATTTCCTATGTGATATAGATTCTTGGATCGTGCTTTCCTGCACCAACACACGCCTCGTTGAGGTGGCCACATTCATTGTCTCAATCATTGTTGTTGTGGTTTCATGTGCGATAACTGTGGTCTCCTACATTTACATCATCTCCACCATCTTGAGAATCCCGTCGGCCCAAGGTCGGAAAAAGGCCTTTTCCACTTGCTCGGCCCACCTCACCGTCGTGTCAATCTGGTACGGCTCCACCATTTTTCTTTATGTCAAGCCTACAGCACAGAACTCATTGGACTTGAACAAAACAATCAATGTCTTTAACACGATTGTAACTCCACTATTAAACCCTTTCATTTACACACTAAGAAACAAAGAGGTAAAGGAAGCCTTGGGAAAGACAGTAAGGAGGATGTTACATGGTTTTGAAACACCATGAATTAAGTAGAATTGCAATAAAAAGGACAAAAAAAATTAAATAAAATGTCTGAAGGTCACTGATATACTTGAAGAGAGGAAAAGGAGTAAGTCAAAGATTTTCAAAGGACAGCTAACTCCTTGTTTCTTCCAATGGCTGCTGGACCCCTGTATCACAACTCCCATTGGTTGTGAGATTTAGATCAAGCTGCAATTTTCCAAGCAGCCCATGGGAATTTCATTGCCCATAACTTATTGAATTTTGATGGAAGTTTGTTTTCTAACTTTCTTAGCTTCACTGATATTTCCTTATTGAAACTCAAACTCTCCTGCTTAAATATAAACCTTGTTTTTCAGTAGCGCGAGCTTGAATAATGGTATGGAACTTCAAGCAAGAACACCAAGTAGACTGGTTAACTGGCCTTGTTACGGGTAAAGTGAAAGGAGCTATCAAATCTAAAAAGTAAAAATAATTTACTATAAATTTGAGAGAATTTGTTTTTGGGGAGTAAGCAAGTCTGTCTCTGTCCATCCGTCTCCTTGTTCAAGAACTCCTAAGCAGTAAGAGCTAGGACCACCAAATTCGGTATACAGCTTCCTCTTACCATAACTTACAGCAAGTTCAAGGTTTGGATATATGGACAGGGGAACCAAAGCCTCCTCCTACCCCCAGATGCTCCTTAGGGAGGGTGGGAGAGGATACAGACCCCCTTCCCATTCCTACAGAAACATTGATGGCTGTTCCCCTTCACAGTGGTGGCTGGAGACAGGGCCCTCTACATCCTACAAAACTACTCATTGTTTCTAACGATACAGGCAAACACAGCCACCCCTCTGAGACTTTTAAAGGATAATTAAGTGATTAAGTGATCCATAGATCTCTTGGTTAGAAGAGACCCCAATGCTTTTCGAATCTGACCTTTTGTATAACGTATGCTATGAAATAATTCCTTGGGAGCCAGAGCTCTTCTCTCATACAGATTGTTTTTCAATGGAAGCCAGTCAACTACAGTCCTCTTAAAGGAACTACAAGTGACAAAGATATGCTTCATGAGAACCAACTCCCCCCTCAAAAAAACTATCCCTCCCAAAAAAACTTCCCCCTCAAAAAAACTACCTCAGTAATGTGGCACATCCAATAGCATCCAAAAACCCAGGGGAAGTTTATTAGGATTGTTTACCTACTTCAATAGAGTTTCAGAAGAGACCTAAACGATCTATTCACACACACACACACACACACACACACACACAAACCCATATCTATCTATCCGTCCATTCATCCATCCATCCATCTATCTATCTGTCTGTCAGTCTGTCTATCTATCTATCTATCCTCATTTGAGCTGGTCAACATTTTATTTTTAAACCATTTTAGACATTAAAATGGGTTTTCAACTAAACAAAATTGGTTGCACCAAGTTCCTTCTTTCCACAGAACAGAAGAAAAAGAAAAACCTGAAAACTCTTATTTTTTTGGCCTTCACCCCCCCCCCCCCCCCATCCTTTTATTTTATTGATTGACATTTTGAACCAAAAACAGTTTCTAGTTTTTATTTTGACAATTAAAGGATGAAATTGTCTTTGTGGAAAAAAATGTGAACTGATCTATCTATCAATCTATCTATCCACCCCAATTCATCCTATCTATCTATCTATCTATCTATCTATCTATCTATCTATCTATCTATCTATCTATCTATCTATCTATTGCCATTCATCTTATCTTGAAAATAAACCCTTTTTCGACAGAAAAAAGTCAGTCTAGATTGGATCTGTTGAAAATAAACCCTTTTTCGACAGAAAAAAGTCAGTCTAGATTGGATCTGTTGAAAATAAACCCTTTTTCGACAGAAAAAAGTCAGTCTAGATTGGATCTGTTGAAAATAAACCCTTTTTCGACAGAAAAAAGTCAGTCTAGATTGGATCTGTTGAAAATAAACCCTTTTTCGACAGAAAAAAGTCAGTCTAGATTGGATCTGTTGAAAATAAACCCTTTTTCGACAGATCCTGCATTCATCAAAAAATGAGGTTTACAATAAGGATTTCTTATTCCTACTGGAAAAGGGCTTATTTTAAGGAGTAACTCCATTTTTTGAGGAGTAACGTTAGTTCGAACCAAGGGGTTTGATTCTAACTAACGCGGCCCGGAGCACACTTTCGCTTTCGAAACAGCTGGAGTTTGGAATAGTGAACAGCCGAGATTATGCTAATGAAGCGTGGGATATTCATTGACTATTTCCATAGACATACCCTATAATGTAAAGCGAGGTCAGTGTTTGGTTGTACCTGGACAATATGATGTGCCTGGAATTGGGATTGCTTCTCTGAAAACCATGCAGAAAAAAGACAGAATCACCAGGCAGGTGAAAGGGAATGTCTGCGACTTTCCCAGCCTCTTACCCCAGACACCCTTTATGGACGCTGGGAGGCAGAAGTTCTTCCCCCCCCCAAAAAAAAAGAATCACATGGGAACATTGCTGGCTCCTCCCCTTCATCTGGGAGTGAGGGGAAAGGGCACACTCTGGCTGGGGAGTGCATGGGGCAGCCGAACCTGGGCCTGTCCCAGGCGGAAGACATGAGCCCCTCCTCCAGCTGTGCCCACTGAAGCTGCAGTGGACATGGAGAGGAACCTCTCAGCTGGCCCCAAGCTGCTGTGGGGAGAGAGGGCCAGGGTGGTCCTCTCTCCCCAGGGCACCCTGCATTCAGCCCCTCCCCAAAGCAATGACTTAAAATGTATATGTTTCGTGGGTTTTTTAATTCCATCTCCTCCCCCCTCCCCCCGAGTTAAGGACCCGAGCAAGGCCGGGTAAATCTGCTTGTGTACAAATAATTACACATGCTTTGGCCCAGAGAAAGGATGGAGCTGGCTTTACGTCCCTCCAGTGGTTCAGGACTCTCCTGAGAAGGGGCAGATCCCACTCTCCAACAAACACAATGGGGAACTGATCTGGGAATGCCCCTGTGACGGCACGTTGGGGTTCCCCCGTCTCCTGCACCCCCGTAGTGGCAGGAACAGACTCCACCAGCCAGTAGAATAGAGGGAGTTTATTGCTTCTCCAGGATACAGCCCAGCACAGATGTAATCTGGTTACAGGGCCAGACCTAGGATGCCTCAGCCCCCCTTGAGACCGCCCCGTGGCCTAGGCTGCTTCCTCCAGGATCCCAGCCAGAAACTAAAACTCTCTTCCAGCCCTGCCCCCCAGCTGGTCTCAGCCCTCCTCCCTTTGTCTCACTCCCTGGGAGGCTGAGCCTGGGGGTATGCCTACATTACCCTCCTAGTTCGAACTAGGAGGGTAATGTAGGCATACCGCACTTGCTAATGAAGCCCGGGATTTGAATTTCCCGGGCTTCATTAGCATAAGCGGGGAGCCGCCATTTTTAAATCCCCGCTGCTTCGACCCCCGTGTAGCGCGGCTACACGGGGCTCGAACTAGGTAGTTCGGACTAGGGTGCCTATTCCGAACTACCGTTACTCCTCGTGAAACGAGGTGTACCGGTAGTTCGGAATAGGCACCCTAGTCCGAACTACCTAGTTCGAGCCCCGTGTAGCCGCGCTACACGGGGGTCGAAGCAGCGGGGATTTAAAAATGGCGGCTCCCCGCTTATGCTAATGAAGCCCGGGATTTGAATTTCCCGGGCTTCATTAGCAAGTGCGGTATGCCTACATTACCCTCCTAGTTCGAACTAGGAGGGTAGTGTAGACATACCCTGGGTGTCTGGGTTAATCCACATTTGGGAGAGTCAGTGAGAATCTCCCATCCCAGTGCAGGGGGACCCGGGTCACAGAGCAGACAGCCCCCCACTACGCCACAGCCCCACATCCCAGATGAGTGCCCTAAAGGTTGAAAGGGAATTCACATACTCCTTTGGGCCTCCCCCATAGCCATGCTGTGCAGCGCTAGGCGTGAAACGGAGAACACCTACCAGATCAGGAAATGGGCAGTGCAGTGCCTAGTTTTACCTGGTTTAAGGAGCCCACTGGGCTTTAGGTATGCGATAGGTAGCAGTCCACTTGCCCAATGGCCTAATTTAAGCCCTTCAGCAGAAATGTAGATGTCAGAGGTGTTTCGGGTCTGCAGGGTGATGGAGAAATTTAGGAGATTTTCTGAGACTCTCAATGGCATTTAAAGTGTGGAGGTAGGTGTCACGCAATCAGAGTTAACTCCATCCCACTGCTGGTATGACGCATGGGCACCCCATCCCATTTTCAGACTCCCAGCTGCCCTCTCTGTGATGTGGACTCGTGTCTGTCTCCCTCCAGACCTGGGGTTAAGGCTTGCAGTCCCTCTGCACCTCAGTGGGCTGAAAAGGGCCAAGTACCTTTTCCCAGAAGTGACAATAGTCACCAGTCAGCCTTCAAAGCAAATACATTTACTCGTAGGGTAAAAGCATTGCAGAGACAACATTAAAGCAAAAACAATAACAGTTCCTATATGCATGCTCAAAGATACCAGGGGTCACCCATCTGTCTTATGGGTTCTGAGTCTAAGTTCAGCCAACCCTGCTACAAGGGTTTGAAAAGTTGGTCCTGTCCAATTTCTGAATCAAAAGAAGACACCGAGTGAGTTTCAATATAGGTCTTGTCTTCACGATGGGCTAAATTGGAGCTGCTGCAAATGAATGAAGCAGCATCAGTTTAGTGAGCCTGGTTAAGATATCCTAAGCTAATGGAAGAGCCCTCTTCAACTGACTTTTGTAAGCCAGTTATGTCAACAAGAGAGCATGTTCTGCCAACATCACTTGGGTGGTCTCTGCAGTAAATCGACATAGGATATATTGACTTCATTTGTGTAGTACTACTACTGCCATAGTGAAAATACGCCCTCAACCTTTTTATACAAAACAGCTTTTCTTTGTCTGATGGTCTCTGAAAACCACAAACTCAACCAGCATATCCAAGGCTGTGTCTAGACTGGCCAGTTTTTCCGGAAAATCAGCCGCTTTTCCGGAAAAACTTGCCAGCTGTCTACACTGGCTGCTTGAATTTCCGCAAAAGCACTGACTTCCTACTGTAAGAAATCAGTGCTTTTTGCGGAAATACTATGCTGCTCCCATTCGGGCAAAAGTCCCTTTTGCGCAAAACTTTTGCGCAAAAGGGCCATTGTAGACAGCTGAGATTTGATTTGCGCAAAAAAGCCCCGATCGCGAAAATGGCAATCGGGGTTTTTTTTCCGGAAAAGGGTATCTAGATTGGCCACGGACTCTTTTCCGCAAAAAGTGCTTTTGCGGAAAAGCGTCCGTGCCAATCTAGACGCTCTTTTCCAAAAATGCTTTTAACGGAAAACTTTTCCGTTAAAAGCATTTCCGCAAAATCATGCCAGTCTAGACATAGCCCAAGTGTTTTCAGGAGATTGTACCTGTAAAGGGTTGTGCACAACCTGAGATGGAAACTCTCTCTCTCAGAGTTTTTGGTTCCTGGAGGAAAAATGGCAATCTTTCCCCCGAGATGCTTGCAATCTCTGAATATTCATAAACTTAATACAACACAGCCTCCGAAGGTATTTCATGAGATACACCTAAGGCCTAAATCCTTTTGTGTCTGTGGGTCTTAGTAAATAGAACGAACAGAAAACATTCCATTGAAATACTTGTGGGAGAGGAAATTATATATTTGTTGAAATGGACATGTTCCTGAAAAACATTCATTTTCATTAAAAAAAAAACGCTCAGACTTTTCTTGTAAAGAATTGGTGGCAAATATCTGAGCAATCAGGGAGAGGTAATTTAAGGTGTTTCCTCAAGGCTTCTTTGACCTCCTTGTTCCTCAGACTATACACAATGGGATTGAACAATGGAGTCACCACAATGTATAGCAGGGATAGGATTTTGTTGAGATGAGTGGATTGAGTTGCCGTGGACATGACATAGGTAACGGTCAGTGTCCCATAGAAAGTGGTGACTACAATGAGGTGAGAGCTACAGGTGGAGAAGGCTTTCTGCTTCCCACTCTTCGATGGGATTTTGAAGACAGCCCGGAGGATATGGATGTAGGATGTGATGGTTAAAAGGAAGGGGCCCAGAGCTACGAGGCAACATGAGATGAAAATTGCTACCTCCACCGTGTAGGTGTCAGAGCAAGAGAGCTGCAGCAATGGCGTCAAGTCACAAAAGAAATGGTCAATTTCATTAGGGCCACAAAGAGTTAGAGATTTTGCCAGAAGCAAATGCAGCACAGCACCTAGCAGAAACCCCCAAAACCAGGTGCCAGCAGCCAGCTGAATGCAAAGGTTCCTCTTCATTAAGTCCGCGTAGTGCAGAGGGTGGCAGATGGCCAGGTACCGATCATAAGACATGAGCATCAAGAAGTAACACTCAGTGGTCCCTAATGCACAGAAGATGTACAACTGGATGATACAGCCAGTGAAGGAAATACATTTCTCCTCTCTCAGTAAGTCCACAAGCATCCGGGGGATGATGTTAGAGGTGTACAAGATCTCCAGGCATGAAAGGTTACTCAGGAAGAAGTACATAGGTGTGTGAAGGCTGCGATTAGCTGATACTGTGATTATAATGAGGATGTTCCCCACAGTGGTCATGAGATACACCACTGAGAAGAGGAGAAAGAGGAATATCTGCAGATCCTGGAGATCCTTGAAGCCCAAGAGTATCAGAGTGTCCGTGATGGTTACATTTTCAACCCCAGGGTCTTCCATGATTTTCTTCTAAATTAATAAATAAAATAATAATAATAATTAATACATTTGAGAGAGTTTGTGCATCTATCCGTCTGTGTGTCTATTTGTTCAAGAATTCCTTCAATACCGTAAGAACTAGGACCATCAAATTTGGATTGCTGCTTTCTTTTAACATAACCAAAAGTAAGGATTTGGTTGTACCAGGACAATGGATTGTGCCTGGAATTGGACTGTTTCTCATAAAATGGAAAGGGAAGGGGTTTGGTAGGAGGGACAGTTATACTGTAGAATTACCACAGGGGGCAGCAAAGGGCCAGAGATGGGGACCGGGAAACTTATAACCCCATTGGCCCATCAGGGAGCAGAGGTGGAGGAAGGAACAGCTGTCTACTATATATTTCAGATAATTTGTCTATTTGTGTGTCTGTCTATGTGCCTGTCTGTCCAGCTGGAGGACATGCACCCCTTCCCCAGCTGTGTCCACTGTAGCTGCAGTGGCCCTGGACAGGAACTTCTCATGTAGACCCTAACTGCTGTGGTGACAGAGGGGTGGGATTATCCTTTCTCCTCAGGACAGCCTGCATACTGAACCCCTCCTCCCCAGCTCTACCCCAGAGCAATGATTTAAATGAAGGAAAACAAAACTTTTCTGAGTTAAAGACCCCAGCAACGTCGGGTAAATCTTCTAGTACAAGTTACAAATAAAACACAACTACAGCATTTTATTCATTGCATATTATCTGGATGTGTAAATAATCAAAAATCCTATCACACAAAATCGGTGCATGCCCTCCTATGCATTAGAAGTATTTACAAATTATACAGACCCCAGACAGCCTCATCCTGTAATAACAGCTGTAACTAAATCATAATGACAAACCAATGCCCCCTGCCAAATCTAACGACAGAAAAGATGGGACTAGCTACCTGTCTGGTTTGTTATGAGAGAAGGAGAGAAAGAGAGAGAGAGAGAGAGAGAAAGAAAATCCCTAGCAGGTGTGAGCGTGTGTGTGAGAGAATGATTGACAGGGAGTTATGGTAGCAAATTAGGTGGACTGACACATTTTGAAATCAGAAAAATTAAGTTAATCTAATCTGGTGGTGGCCAAATACCGGCCCACGGGCCAGATCCAAATCACTGCTATATTTATCTCCGCTTCTGCAGATACGGGTGTGTGCAGCTACTATTGGCCACAGGTCACCATTCTCAGCCAATGGGAGCTGTAGGAAGTAGAATTCTGGTCCGCACCATTTTCCCGCCGCTCCCATTGGCCAGGAATGGCGATCCAGGCCAATGGGAGCTGCAATTGACCATACCTGCAGAGGCACAAGTAAATATAGTGGCAGCGGCCTGCCAGGACACACCATGGTGAACCATGCCATGCTATTGTCCAACCCTGATGTTGTCTGTCCTCCTGCATAACTGAGGCTAGGGAATTTCATACAGTGTTTACCACTTCATGTAGACACCGAAAACTGGACACACTACTACCGTATTCAGTGCTGTTGTAGCTGTGTCCGCCCAGGATTTTAAAGAGACAAGGCAGGTGAAGTGATGGCTTTTATTGCATCTACTTCTGCTGGGGAGAGAGGCGTCATGGCTACATACAGATAGGGATGTGTTGTATAAGGGCTAATGTGCCACTTCCCCATGAAATACGTGTTACCCAACTTGTGCACCACAATCTGTTCCATTTTGTGTTTGTCTGAGACACTCTGTGTAACATTTGGCTATCCTGATGCCAACAAAGCAGATATAAAAATCAGATGAGCAGATAGATGCATAGATGTAGGGGCAATGTGAGAGAGAGACACACAGACAGAGACAGTATAGGGTATGTCTACACTACGGAGTTTTTCTGGGATACTGGAAGTATCCCGGAAAAACTCTGCCGCATCCAGGGAACGTGTCTGCTCTTCCGCTTTTTTTTTTCCGCAGAAGAGCAGACGCGCTCTTTCGGAAGCCCAGTCCTCTTCCTTCCACGAGGAACAAGGATGCTTCCGAAAGAGGAGGTTTTTCCAACATTTGACCCTGTGTAGAAGGGAAAAAAACAAGTGGAAAAAGGTACGCAAATTGCATATATTTTTCCTAACCCCCTCCCCCCCAGTGTGTAGACATAACCAGAGACAGAGATTCAGAATAGAAATAATGCAAAACTATAATAGTAAAAGTAATTTACCATTGAAGCAATTACCAAGGATCACGGTGTATCCATCACTGACAATTTGTAAATCTCAGCTGGCTTTTTTTTTTTTATCTAAAGATCTGGTCTGGGATAGAAGAGTTGTATGGAGATAGATAGATAGATAGATAGATAGATTACCTTTATAACTGGCTGGTCAGAAATCTCTGTGTATTCCGATTCCCCGTCTCAGATGGCTGGAGAAGACGTTTCACTACCTCACGTGGGCACACGTTTCCGTATCTTTGTCAGTTCAACTGATTCTTGGTGGCATCAGTATGTCTCTCTCTATCCTATGAGTATTCGAACACCTCACAATAATCAATGGATTTGAGCCTCACCACCCCTCTCAAAGCTTGCCCTATGCAATGCCAGGCTGGTTTGGTTTGCCTCCTCATTCAGTTTCAGCTCTTCTCCTCTATCAACTGTTCATCTGATTTCTTCATTCATTCTGCCAGGCGTGTTATTATTCATCTCTAAAGACAGCTGACTATGCCGTCCATTTGCATATTCCTTGGAGTATTTTTTCCACACGGCACCTGGGATGCTTTCTCCAGAGGCTGAAAAGAAAACTGAGGCAACTCTATACTGACAAGAAGAATTATTCAAGAGAGCTAATCCATCACACCAGGTCCACACCAGCCTTCTTCTCAGGTCATGCCCTGGTTATGGGAACCAGCTCCTACCGTTGCAGGCGTGGTTCCAGAGACAACAGCTCTTTGGCTGTTTTGGAAGATCAATGCGAGATAGCAAGGAACCATAGCTCACAGACAATACTACACCTTGGCGACTCTTGTGTTAGTTACACTGCTTTGTCATGCACTCTTGCGATTCTATCCCAAATCTCATGCTACTTGGTATGTTCACATAGAGCGCCAAATACTGAAGACACGATTAGGTGACAATCCCAGTTACATTTTTAACCCTCACAGATGTGGGAAAAGCTAGAAAAGAAACCCCTAATGACTCTGACAGCAGGGAAGCAAATATCAAGCACCTGAAAATTTTTATTTTTGAAAATCTTATGATTTCTAGGGCCTGATTCATGATTCTTGAATTCTTTCGGCGTGCGATACTGGCTGTGTAATGTATAAATACTAATGATCCCTAAAAAGAACAGCAACCTGACTTTATTGACACTTATTTACGCTAGTCCCCATCTAAGCATCTCACAAACTTTAAACTAGTTTTCTTCACAGCATCATTGTAAGGGAGGAGAGTTTTATACCCACTACGCAGACAGGGAACTAAGGTGCAAAGAGGCTAAGGCCCAGATCCAAAAAAGAATAGAGGTGTTTTGATGCTAATAGTGTCCAAACATTTAACTTGCTGGCCTGCCTGACTCCGCACAAAACAGCTGGAATAGGAGAGGATGGAGCTTCCATTCACCATATAACTTTAGCCCAGTGTTTAAAGCACTCTGGGTATGTCTACACTACCCTCCTAGTTCGAACTAGGAGGGTAGTGTAGACACACCGCACTTGCTAATGAAGCCCGGGATTTGAATTTCCCGGGCTTCATT